CCCCCCCCCCCCCCCTCTTTTCAATATCTTCCCCGTTGAAAGTTTTTCCGGGGCATTCATGCTGTCAGAACGCATAGTTGCACAACATGCGTCTGTGCATGGCACACAATTACGCGATGCGTAATTATGCACATGGGGAACTGAGTGGCAAGACGTTTTTTTGGGCAAGCTTCCGCTTCTTACTGGGTTCGAATGGACCCAGTGAGGCGAGGACCACATCCGCTTCGCCCTTAACCCATCAGCGACAGCCTTAAAGGGCGAAGCCTATATGACATAGAACGTTGGTTACGTACTGTAACCCCAGATTCTATGAATATAGGCGTAGCCCTTTAAGCGTCGGGCCTCACTGGCTCCTGAATAGCTGAAGAAAAGAATAAGCTATTTGGGAGCAGATTACCCGCTCTTAACGTAATTTATACGGATCGGGTGGGGCCCACACAGCAGGTGGGCGTGGACTAATTTTTTTCAGTACGATGCTTGCGCATAACGGGATAAACCCATCAGCGACAGCCTTAAAGGGCTACGCCTATATTCATAGAATCTGGGGTTACAGTACGTAACCAACGTTTACTAAACTACAGCACACACACAATGTTAAGAAGTGTCACCTCTTCACCCTCACATGTAAGCACCAGTATAGTTAACTGGTATATTTACATGTAAGCACCAGTATAGTTAACTGGTATATTTACATGTAAGCACCAGTATAGTTAACTGGTATATTTACATGTAAGCACCAGTATAGTTAACTGGTATATTTACATGTAAGCACCAGTATAGTTAACTGGTATATTTACATGTAAGCACCTGTATAGTTAACTGGTATATTTACATGTAAGCACCAGTATAGTTAACTGGTATATTTACATGTAAGCACCAGTATAGTTAACTGGTATATTCCTGTGTAACATTGTGTATTTGTTTCTCATGCAACCAGTCACTCTTCACATGAATTCTAAGGTGTGCTCGTGTGTGTTCAACATCCTTAGCATCAAGTTCACATCTCCATTTAGTGAATGATGGGATTTGAACCTCAGCACATCATTCATTTATACTTTTGTTGGATGTAACTGGGACCCTGTGTACACAGTTTAGTTCCACCACATGTACAACATGCGATATGAATGCCAATAAAGAACCTTGACCTTGACTCCCACACTGTCTTTAATATCAAAGCCTCTGTGAGCTAACGCAACGTCCCAGGGTAATAATCTGGAGAGAAGGCCACAGCTTCTGTTATGAGCTTGTCTGATGGACGTCCATCCCTTGGAAAGAAAAGAAAGACACAGGTATTAGACAGTTTGATGTGACACCTTAAAAAGATGGCAAAGATGATGAACAGATGCATTAGTGTTAGTAGAACTATTGAAATTGTGAGGGTTTTTTATGCTGCCAGCTGACAACTTAAAACAGTTGTTTAAAGAACCATAGAAACGGTAACTTGATTGAAAGTGACCAACTTAAATGTTGACAATAATAAACAGCAGCAGTTATTAAAATTACTTTTTTTTAAATATAAATAAAAACACTTTGTGTCTTGTGTACAGAAACTTTGATAGTTACATCATATTAAATAACTACAGACACTTAGCTAAATGCTACAACACAGGTCTTGGAGCTAGCTAGCTACAATTAGCCTCCCGGTGCTACGCTGCGTGATGACGTCACTACGCCAACGCACCTGTACGCACGCGTCTGACGCTCCGAGTCTAAAATTCCATTATCTCCATCATGGCAACATAAAAAACATTTTTAGCATTTTATGACTTTTGGCCCTGTCGCCATTTTGTTTTATTAACTTGGACGCAAAAAAAAACATTAAACTTGAACAATTAAACATTAAAACATTAAAACAAAACAAAAAATTGTGTTTTCAGATCCTGCCAACCCGTATTAAATTCTACACCTTTTCCGGGAGAATTGTGACATTTTTAAATTGCTTTAATTTTAGACACAACAATTGTTAAATATTTGTCTGTTTAACCAACTTTAATGACTTAATTTAAACTTTTCACCTTGAAATTAAACGTGTCGCCCAATTTTTTTCACCAATTAGTGATTTTTAAAGAATATTTTTCAAGTTTAATCAGGATGTTATAACTCATACATTTCTGCATCAAAATATAAAAACAGATGGAAGTTGTCTGACCTCCAGAGGGTCCGTCAGGATCACGAACATCCTCGGGCCGTCTCCAGAAGAAGAACTCCTCACCGAAGGTCATCTCGAGTCTTTTTCACCAAGTCTTTACTCTGAGTACAAATAGTCCACACCGGTTCAAGTCCAGATGCGAAAAGAGCGATAGAACGATTTGACAGTCTTTAAACAACAAATTCTGCGTGACGTAAGCGCGTGCGTGCGTGCGTGCCCACGGCACCTAATGGTTTTTTAATATTAATCTGAGAGACTACAGCATTAAATAATACAAGAACATGAGAACCTTTGTTCTAAGAGGAACCATGTCTTCACGGTCCTCTGTGTTTGTTGCTCCATCATGGAGAACATCAACCTGCATGGACCTGGATCTAAAAACTGTTCAAGAAAGAATAAAGACCTCATTTTAAATTACTCACAGGATTAAATCCTGTTAAGAATAAATATGAATGGCAAATATTTTAATCTGGTTTATTATGAAGAAACATGACCTTGACAAAGAAAACACGTTATATTGTTAATCTGTTTATAATTTATGGTAAATCTCAGATTTTTTCCTCAGCTGATTTCAGTTCAGTTTATTTTTATAGGTCAATTCACAATAGAAGTTTTATCAAAGCATTTAAAAAGTCCAAATCACAAATCCAGATTAATCCTCACCAGATGAATAATCTAATCCAATTACAGTCAAATAATTCATGTTAAACAAATCAAAATCTTTCTGGACAAAATGTTTATACTCCGATGAGACAAAGATTCATCCTTTAGGCCACAGTGATAAGAATCTTTTTGAAGAGACTAAATGAGGCTTTCAAGTCTACAAATGACAAACAACTGTCAAGCACGGTGGTGGTAGCATCATGCTGTTCCTTTAATTTCATCTCTAACAACAAACTAGATGGTTGAAATTTGGACATAACTGGACATAGCAGGATGATGAGCACAAACACACATCAGAACTGGTTTCTGATTGGATGAAGGCTGATTTTAAACTTTAGGAATGACCTTCTCAGCAGGGCCTACTAGCCTGTTTGTTGTCCTGGGAAAACAATATCCCCCCTCCCCCCAGTAATTACAGAAGGCAAACATTAGACAACAAAACAACAAGAAACTGTTTTGATTTCCTTTTAATATACCAGCTTTATATGTGATCTAACCTGTGGTCTTACTGTTTTATTCCATAAATTTATTATGTTTGTCTGCATCTACTGGCAGGAAACGTTTTATTTAACAGCAATGTAAACAATCTAAACAATAAAGGCAGTGAAATGTTAACATTTGTAACGTTTGATTGGGTCAGTGTGAAATGAGGCTGGTTACTCAGAGCCCCGTTTCCTTTTTCACCAGCAGCAGGAAACAAGTGAAAGAGGAAAAATGTCTGAAAAGATTCTCCTTCGTTCCACTTTTCATAGAAGACGTGCTGCGTTCAGGTGACTGCTGGGACCTGC